CCGGGGGTTGGGGAGCTCCCCCCTATCAGGCACAGAGCAGGGCCAATCAGGGGGTTGGGGCGCCTTCCCCTGTCAGGAACAGAGCAGGGCAAATAGGGAGGTTGTGGCCCCGCCCCCTGTCACACATAGAGCCGCAGGGTGATCAGGGGGTTTGGGCGCTGCCCCGTCACGCTGCTCCAGGGGCCAGGAGGCCTTGCGGCTCCGCTGATCCCAGGCCGGGAGGTCTCACGGCTCAGCTTGATACCAGGGCAGTGAGGCCTCGCGGCTCCGCTGATTCCGGTGCCAGGAGGCTTCGCGGCTCCGCTGATCCTGGGTTCGGGAGGTCTCTCGGCTCTGCTGATCCCAGTGCTGGGAGGCATATTACCCTTTTACTATATAGGATAGAGGCCTGGTGCACGGGTGGGGGCTGGCTGGTTTGCCCTGAAGGGTGTCCCGGATCAGGGTGGGGGTCCTGCTTGGGTGCCTGGCCAGCCTGGATGAGGGGATGATGGCTGTTTGCCACTGGTCACACCCCCTTCAGGGTTGGGGTCCCCACTGGGGTGCCTGGCCAGTCTGGGTGAGGGGCTGAGGGCCGTTTTCAGGCTGGCGGGCGACTGAAGCTCCCAACCTCTCCTTTTTTCTTTTTTTTATTTATTCTGGGATTTATTTACCTTCTATAGCTGTCACTGGAGCTGAGAGCCAGCTTTAGCTCTGAGGCCGGCTCCAGCTTGAGGCCTTGGCTGCTGAAAGCAGGGATCTGGGTTTGTTTGGGTTCTATAATTGTAACACTGTTTCGGTCCTGCTCGCTCCAGCTCTGAGATCCTGGCTGACTGAAAGCAGGTTTCTGGAGTTTTGTTTAGCTTCTATATTTGCAACAATGTTTCTTAGAGTGCAAGCTCAGAGGCCGGCAAGACAGGCGGGGAACCTTGGCTTCCTCCGTCACTGGAGCAAGCAAGCCTCCTGTTCGCTTCAGGGGCCTGGCAGCCAGCCGCCATCTTGGTTGGCAGCTAATTTGCATATCGCCCTGATTAGCCCATGGGAAGGGTAGCGAAGTTACGGTTAATTACCATGTTTCTCTTTTATTAGATAGGATATAAAAGCCTAAGCGACCAGCCCATTGGCTGGTAGCTATGATGCACACTGACCACCAGGGGGCAGACACTCAATGCAGGGGCTGCCAAGCTGCGGTGACTTGGCAGCTGCGGTTCTTGGGTGACGCACATGGACCTAGAGAGGAGGGAGCCCGATTCCAGGGTGTGTCACCCGAGAACCACCCTCTAGCAATCCAGGACACCTCAGAGGATGTTGGAGAGGCGTTTTTTGGCCCGATATCTCAGGCCAGGCCAAGGGACCCCACCGGTGCACAAATCCATGCACCAGGCCTCTAGTTATTGTATATAACTCTTCTAGCTACCCTATGAGGTAGATGGTATTATTATGGTCATCCTACAGATGAAGAAACTTAGGATCAGAAAGGTTAAAGAGCTTGCCCCAAACCATACACCTAATTCATAGCAAAATTAAGTCTGGATCACAGGTTTGTCTGACACTAAATTCATTCTATTAAACCCTGAACTCTACTGCCCCACAATGTATTCCTACTGGGTCTGTTGTGTACATGGAGAAACACAGAAAGACCCCTCCATCTTGCCTCAAGATTCTTCCCAGAAGCCCTACTATTGCAAAGGTTAGCACTTGGTGAGAGCAATGCTGCTCAGAATAAGTCTGAGACGACACAAAGCCAGAGTGGTAACATTCACTGACAAAACCTTCAAGAATCATAAAAGACCCTCCCTTTGATGGTTTTCAGCCGTGTGAATAACATGGGAGTAAAGAAAGTTTATTTTTACCTCCCCCGCCCCCCTTTATTCAGTAGAAACTAACTGTCTTCTGGTTACATTTTAAAAGAAAATCTCAGGCTTTTCTTGTTCTCTGTCGTAGACCTGCGGTGAGGTTCCCACAGGTCCTGGTCTATGCCCATTTGATCCTCCCTCACTCACACATCCAGGTGCTGAACTTTGTTTTGTTGTAACACATAACCACCACAGGGGAAAAGAAACCACTGAATGGACAGACCTGTGCTCAGAGTATGGATTTTGTTGTAACAAGGTCAGAACACTGTGGTAGCTATTAGTCACTGACTAGTTCTTAGAATCCTGCCAAGACAGAAATGGCCAGCACAAGTAAATCTCAGAGTTTCGCCTGCACTTTCTTAAGTGCACAATAAAAAGGGGCAGTGGCAGGGTTGAAACGGTTATTAGAAATCATGGGGTACCCTGACAAGAGGTGATAGCACAGCCTTGGAAAGGTGTACACTCACATAGTAGAGATGCAGAGGTGGGGGCGTCACCATTATCAACCAGCGAGAAAGATGCTTAGATCAGTTTGAATAAAACTAATTTAAGAGTCCTCTATCCCAAAGCTGAACAAATGGCATTGGCTGATATAATCGTGCTTTTTAAAGTCGATTAATTAGGTGCATTACATTGACTGCTTCTTTTAAAGCTTAATGGAGGCATAGCTTGCTTACAATCAAATCCACCCATTTTAAGCATATAGTTTAATGAGTTTTTGGCACATACACAAGTCATGCAACCGGCCCAATGTCTGTAGGACTTTAATCCTCTTTTATTCATGATATAGGTCATTAATATTTTCTCATTTTTCTTTATCAGTCTTGCCAGGTGTTTCCCACTTTTAATAATCATTTCAAAGAACCAACTTTTAGCTTTATTTTCTCTACTGTTCATTTGTGTTCTAGCTCATTGACTTGTGCTGTTTATTATTTCCTAATTGTTATTTACTTTGGATTTAATATGCTCACTTTCTTCCTAGTTTCTTATGTGGAAAATTTAGATTTTGGGGGGGGTGGGAAAATAACAGCTATATTGAGACACTTCACATACTATTCAATTCACCCATTTAAAGTATACAATTTAATGGTTTTATGTATATTCACAGAGTTGTGTAACCAACATCAAATACATTTTAGCACATTTTCATCACTCCCCCAAAAGAAATTCTATACCCTTATCAGTCACCCTACCCCTTGCTAGCCCCTTCCCCCAGCTCTAAACAGCCACTAATCTAACTTCTGTCTCTATAATTTGTCTAGTCTGAACATTCCTATAAATGGAATCACACAATATGTGGTCTTTTGTGACTGACTTCTTTCACTTAGCATAATGTTTTCAAGGTTAATTCACATTGTAGCATGTACCATACTTCATTTTTTATTGCCAAGTAATATTCCATTGTATGGGTATACCATATTTTATGTATCCAGTCATCAATTGATGCGCAGATGGTTGATTTTACGTTTTCTTCATTCCTAGTATAAGCATTTAAAGACCCACAATTCCCTCTGAGTACTCACTCCTCTGATACATCACAGACTTTTGATATCTTATATTTTCATTATACTCCCATTCAAATATTTTCAAATTTCATTTGTGAAATAAATTATAGATTTTTATGTTGACTAATTTCTAAATGTTTGAGACTTTTATCTATATGCTACAGATTAAATGATATTTTTGTTTTTTTCTTTCTTTTTCTTTTTTTAATGTTCTCTTTTGATCTATCGTCAAGTTCACTTTCTTTGCTGCCTCCAAAATATTAAAAACATCCAATAAACTTTTCATTTCAATTATTATACTTTTCAGTTCTAAAGTTTCCACTTGGTTCCAACCAAGTTGCTCTGCCATTATCAGAAGTCAAAATTTGTTTTTAACCAATTTTTTAAAAACACAACATTTGCAGAGATCTTATGGGGAAGGGATCTAAGTATGACATCTCCTACGGTTGTGGTTTTGGAAAGAATCAAGATCTACTAAGAAGATTATCAAAATTAGGGAAATGTAAACCTTTATGACAAAACCACATTCATCTCTCTGAGGTACATACATTAGTTTTTAAAAGGGAAAGAAAACTGAACATGGAATAAGCAGTTAAATATTACATCAAATTTTAAAATTGGTATTTTTCATAGAAGACTTTAACTTTGAAGGGAAAGCCTCAAATGTTAAACACATTAGGATCAGTTGCTGTGTGAAATGGCTTCTAGTTTGATCCCCCCTCATTCAGATGATCTGCAGCTATAAGTGACAAACAACAAGCACCCCTGTGGTTGTGACTAAAGCAGGCGCCACACAGCCCATGAGGCTGAGAGTGGTGGGGTACAGAGTGACCCCAAAGACCCAGGCTCCTAGCTGCCCAGGGCAGAGAGAGCAGCAGCACTTCAACGATTGGCCTGTTTGATGAGCTGAGGTCATGAGAGAGCTTGTCCCCATAGAAAAAGTCAGCTTCACTATTTAGCAAGAAAATTTTGTAGTAAATATCTCATGCAAACCAAAAAATGTCATCACATACTTGAAGCGAGTGTGACAAGCAGGTAACTGGTTCATGGATTAGTAAAAATAAGCCAGTTAAAAGCTCCACTATTATCATTGGTTGGTTGGGGTGATGAGTGTTCGCTCAGATTCCTCTTTTGGAAATGAAGCTCCTCTTGCACAGGTTGAAAGGTCATAACATTTTGGAATGGAAATATCTGAAAAATCTTTCCTTCTCTAGGACTGTGTTAGAGCAAGGTGGGACTGTTGGGTTCAAAGGACCATAATTTTCAACCTGAAATAATTGATCTAATGATCCTAGTCTAGATTTCCTTTTAAAGCAAGTTCACATGATTATACGAACCATCAAGATTCAGAGGCAGCCAAAGAGAGAACAACCTGATTCTCAGAGATCAACTGAGACCCTGGCGGAAAGACAGAAGGGATGGGAGTAAACTAAAAACATTATGAGATGGAAGCAAGAGTGAGTTAGGGCAGTGGTTCTCAACCTTCCTAATGCCACGACCCTTTAATACAGTTCCTCATGTTGTGGTGACCCCCAATTTCATTGTTACAAATTGAACATAATTAAAGCATAGTAATTAATCACAAAAACAATATGTAATTATATATGTGTTTTCCGATGGTCTTAGGCGACCCCTGTGAAAGGGTCATTCGACCCCCAAAGGGGTCGCGACCCACAGGTTGAGAACTGCTGAGTTAGAGGGAGGCAAAATTAAAATTCACTGCCATTTTGAAGAGCCACCAACATTTAAAGCTCAAAGCATCATGCCATGTTATTTTAACTGGTCAGTGTATTGTTGGCATTTAAACAACTAAAAATTTTAAGAACTATGGCAGTGGTCGGCAAACTCATTAGTCAACAGAGCCAAATATCAACAGTACAACAATTGAAATTTCTTTTGAGAGCCAAATTTTTTAAACTTAAACTATATAGGTAGGTACATTGTTATTAACTTAATTAGGGTACTCCTAAGGCTTAGGAAGAGCCACACTCAAGGGGCAAAAGAGCCGCATGTGGCTCTCGAGCCGCAGTTTGCCGACCACGGCTCTAGACCATAACAATAAAGCAAGTGTCACAATAGGCAAGTGGTAATCCTTTAATTGGTAGAGGGTCTTGCTTTCAATTTGTAAAAAAAAAAACAAAACAAAAAACAGTATCTGTCAAGTACAATAAAGCAAAGCACAATAAAAGGAGGTATGCCTGTCTTTGCCCATGATCATCCCACTCTCATTTTATTTATTTGTTTTATCCACCCTTATGTTATAGGACGATAAGTTGGCAATAAATGGTGTGAACCCCCACTTCTTCTAACGCCACTTCTTCAAAATAGACTCGCCCAGGCTGAAAACCGACTTCTGCGCATGGGCCACGAAGTTTCAATCGCACTGTACGGACGCGCCCACACGTGGTATTTTGTGGAAGAGCCACACTCAAGGGGCCAAAGAGCCACATGTGGCTCGAGAGCCGTGGTTTGCCGACCACTGAACTATGGCAAAACACATAACATAAAATTTGTCATCTTAACTATTTTTAAGCGCACAGTTCAATGGCATCCGTTGGTACTTTTTTTGTGCAACCATTGGTACTTTTAAAACATTAAAACAGCAATTTTCAACTGGTGTGCCACAAGAATTTTTAAAACATGCAATACCTGACTATTTAGTCAGGGGCACTGGCCTCTCTTCCCTTAGATTGTCAAATTAAAATTAAAAACAAAAACAAAAATGACAACAGCCAATAAACAACAGCCGTCTGGTGTGAACCATAAATATATAGGTCATATAATAGACTTGCATCTTATGGGTCATGTCACATAATAAGGTTGCGTCTGATTGGTTAATTCTTGGTAACAGAAATCTTATATATAAGTATAGGCAACTGATTTTTTTTAAAAAGTCACTTTGGAGCAAAAAGGGTAGGTAATTACTGTTATTGTTTTGTTATTATACCTATTTTTATTATACCTATTTTGGGGGCTCAGATTGGCAAAAAACATATTTTTGGTGTGCTGTAGCTTTTTAGTAATTAGCTTATGTGTGACACGAGATGAAAAAGGTTGAAAATTGCTGCATTATAACCATTATGTGGCCCTAAGATAGCATTTCCTAATGCCTCCTCTCTAAGGCTAATGGTTTTTCTTTGAGGAAAAGAGACCCAGGGAGAAGACACTGCTGGCCGACAGGTGAAAGTAACAGGAAGTTAGAATTTGGCTCAATATGAGAAAGAACTTTCTATATTTAGATCTGACCAACAGAGAGGGGAACAGGCGGCATGGGAGCTCCCTTCGAAGGCAGAGAATGTTCACATGGCCGCCCCGAGGCCATCTGTTGGGTGTGTTTTGGAAGAGATTCCAGTGCTGGGTGGGAGAGTGACCTCCGGGCTGCCCTCCAACTAGGAGATCCGATAGCTGATGTGAAATTGCTGTGCACTCAGGTTTCAGAGAGCTTACTGGAGTTCAAGTTTCTAACTCTGGGCTTTAAAGTAGTCACACTTAACACCACTTATGGTAGGTTTTATCCTTTCCTGGCAAGTTGGCTGCTGGTTTTGTCTAAAGTCCAGCGGTTCTCAACCTGTGGGTCGAGACCCCTTTGGGGGTCCAACGACCCTTTCACGGGGGTCGCCTAAGACCATCAGAAAACACATATATAATTACATATTGTTTTTGTGATGAATCACTATGCTTTAATTATGTTCAATTTGTAACAATGAAATTGGGGGTCACCATAACATGAGGAACTGTATTAAAGGGTCGTGGCATTAGGAAGGTTGAGAACCACTGGCTATAAAGAAATCATTAAAAATGGGATACTTAGGTCTCAGGCCCATTCCAACCCACTGATTCACCAAGAGATGTGAAGCAGGTGATCTTCGCAAAAATCAAGTTTTTTCTTTTCTTTTTTTTCAAGCGAGTTTTCACTTAAATGGGCTCTGCTGCCTCCAGGCTTACCCCATGCCGATCCATGTCCACAGTGCTGTCAGAATAATCTTCTAAGATGTAAATCTGAGCATATTACCTTCTCCCACTTAAAAACAATCTTCAATCGTCCCCCTTCATTTGCAAAATAAAGTTCAAGTTTCTAACTAAGCGTGGCCTCCCAGGCCACCCTGCTCACCCCTCAGTACTTGTCTCCTGTCATTCCCTCTCTAACGTGCTTGTCTTTAGCTGGTGAATTATTTCAATTCTCCAGTCCTTATTTGCCTGGCTAATTTTTACATATTCTTTTTTTAAAATATATTTTATTGATTTTTTACAGAGAGGAAGGGAGAGGGATAGAGAGTTAGAAACATCGATGAGAGAGAAACATCAATCAGCTGCCTCCTACACACTCCCCACTGGGGATGTGCCTGCAACCAAGGTACATGCCCTTGACCGGAATTGAACCTGGGACCCTTGAGTCCGCAGGCCGACGCTCTATCCGCTGAGCCAAACCAGTTAGGGCTACATTTTCTTTAAGATTCATCTCAGGTATGGTATTTCACAAGAAAATGTTCCTGTGTTCCCTTACAGCTTAGTCAGGGCTCATTACAGCACCCTCATCATCTGCATGACCCTGAGCACAGCAGAAAAAGCACATTCGGTGCACTTTCAGCTCTGTGGGGAGAAAGATAAAATTGAATCCCTACTTCACTCCATACATCATAGTAATTTCCCAGTTGGTCAAAAGATAGAAGGATTAAAAATAATCTTGGAGTGGGAAAGTCTTTACATATATGACATATAAGATAAAAGCCCCTTTAGAAAGACTATTGAATATGGTTACATGAAAAATGAAATTCTCCATGTCAAAAACATCACTAACAAAATCTAAATGCAAATAATAAATGGCAAAAACTTGAAACATATTTCACAGAGAGTCCCTACACATCAATAAGAAAACAAACACATAAAAATGGCCAGAGAATACAAGTAGTATTCCTAAAAGAGTTACTTACATATGGCTTTTAAAGAATGAAAAGATAAACTGGAACGGAATACCAGTTTTTTTCACTTAGATTAGCAAAGATTAAAAATTTTGAGAACATTGTTATGTTATGTGGAAGCAAGCATTCCATTCATACACTGTGGATGGAAGTGTGTGAATTGGCATGATCTTTATGTTAACAATGACATAACAATGACAAAATTACAAATGCATATATCCTTAATCCAGCAACTTTCTTGCTGGGACTTTATCCATATATTTGTACATGAACAAAATGACAAATTGAAGATGAAGCTTTCCTTCTCCTTCCATTCTCAGACAGAAAATAAAAAATAGGAATGATCTGTTCCTTGAAAGTCTCCTAAAATTTGCCTGGTTTAGGGAATATATACAAATATTCTACTTCTTCTTAGTTTAATTTTGGCAATTGTTTCTTAAAATACATATTTTTATCTAAGTTTTTAAAATTTAATGGCAACATTCATTTGTATTATTACATTCATAATTTTGCATTGTATATAGCTACTGTATCTAACTCCTTTTTTGAGTTAATATTGTTTATTTGAGCTTTTAAATTTTTTCAAAGTATAAGTCCTTGGTTTTATTGAATCTATTATTTGTTTTCTATTTCATCAACATTTGCTCATATCTTAATTATTGGTTTAATTTTACTTTCTTTGGACTTACTCTGTTATTCAATCTTTTTAGCTATTTGAGTGTAAGGATTTGCCCATTTATTTAAATCCTTTCTTGCTTAAATAAGTTTATTTAAGGCTATGAATTTTCCTCTAAATACTACGTTAGTTGTTTTCCACAGGCTTTAATATGTAAGGCTTTTGTTTTCATTTTAAATATTTTATAAATTCTTACGATTTTTCTCTTTGTCTCATGAGTTATTGAAGTGAATTTTCCCCAACTTTTTTTGTTTGTTTGTTTGTTTTGGTGAAGCACTTAAATGTAACTTGTAGACATTATGACAATTCCCCCTTAATTAAATACTAACTATTACTATTATTAGTAGACTTTTCTCTTTATTGTTGTAAAGTATCACTCTTAAAGCCTATTAAACTTTTTCTTTAAATTCTATTTTATCTACTGCTAATCTTGGTATATGGGTTTTCTTTTGATTAGCATTAGCATGATAATCTTTTTTATTTGTACTTTTTAGAGCATGTTCTTACAGCTTTATTTACCTGGGTTTTTTTGTTTGTTTGTTTTCTTTTTACACTAACAATGAAGTGAGAAGAAAATTTGAAAAACAATCCCATTGACCACAGCACCAAAAAGAATAAAATAGTAATCAGCTTAACTAAGGAAGTGAAAGACTTGTACATGGAAAACTACAAAATATTTTGAAAGAAATGAAAAGATGACATAAATAAATGGAATAATATCTTGTTTTTATGAATTAGAAGACATAATATTGTTAAATGTTCATACTACCCAAAGAAACATACATATTCAATGAAATACTTATCAAAGTCCCAATGATGCCTGGCTGGCGTGGGTCAGTGATTAAGCATCCACCTATGAACCAAGAGGTCACAGTTCAATTCCCGGTCAACGCACATGTCCAGGTTGTGGGCTCAATCCCCAGTGTGGGGTGTGCAGGAGGCAGCTGATCAATGATTCTCTCTCATCATTGATGTTTCTATCTCTCTTTCCCTCTCCGTTCCTCGCTGAGATCAATAAAAAAAATATATTTTTAAAAATCCCAATGGCGTTTTTTAAAAAATTGAAAAAAAAAATTCTAAAATTTATATGGAATCACCACAGACCATGAATAGCCAAATCAATCTTGTGAAAGAAGAACAAAGCTGGAGGCATCATACTCCCTGACTTCAAACTATATTACAAAGCTACAGTAATTAAAACAGTATTATATAGGCATCAGGCAGATATATAAACCAATAGGACAGTTTAGAGAAGCCCCAAATAAATCCACATATATATGGTTGACTGATCTTTGATGGTGCCAATAATACATATTGTGGAAAGAACAGTCTCTTCAATAAATAGTGTTGGGAAAACTATATACCCAAATGCAAAATAATGAAACTGGGCCTTTATCTTATAACACACACACACACACACACACACACACACATACACACACACACACACACATATCAACTAAAAATAGATTAAAGACTAAAAAGTAAGACCTGAAACTGTAAACTTCTAGGGAAAAAACATAGGGGACAAGCTTCATGGCATTGATCTTGACAACGATTTCATAGATAAGACACCAAAATCACAGGCAAAATAATAATATATATATGTAAAACTACATCAAAGTAAAAACTAATGCACAACAAAGAAAACAAAAGACTGAAAACTTAATCTATGAAATAGGAAAAAATTTTGCAAGTCATATATTAAATAAGAGGTTAATATTTTTTTTAAAAGGAATTCTTAAACTTTTCTCATCTAAATACAAAGATACAAAAACTGCAAAAAAAAAAGGAATTCTTACAACTCAGTAGCAAAAATCCCCCTAATAACCCAATTTAAAAATAGACTACAACATTGAATAGACATTTCACAAAACAACAACAACAACAAAAAAAAAACACCTACAAATGGCCCACAGACATATGAAAAGATGCTCCATGTCACTAATCATCAGAAAAATGCAAATCAAAACCACAAAAAATAAAGACAAGTGTTGGGAGGATATGGGGAAATTCTAACCTTGTATGCTATTGTTAACAATGGAAAATGGGTAGCCACTATGGAAAACTGTATGAAGATACCTTAAAGAATTAAAAATAGAACTACTATATGATCCAGCAATTTCACTTCTTGATATTTATCCAAAAGAATTGAAATCAGGATCTCCCATGATCATTGCAGCTCCATTCACGATAGCCAAGATGTGGAAACAACCTAAATGTACATTGATGGATGAACGGACAAGAAAATGTAGCATAAACATACAATGGAATACTAATCAGTTTTTAAGAAGAAGGAAATTCTGCAATATGTGATAACATGGATGAACATTGAGGGCATTATGCTAAGTGAAATAAGCCAGTGTGAAATATCCAAAAATTGGTTACCAGGAGCTGGGGGGAAAGGGAGGGAGGAAATAGAGAGTTGCTAATCAATGAGCATCAAGTTTCAGTTATACAGTATCATTAAGTTCTAGAGATCTGAATAATAATGAACCTGCAGTTAACAATACTATATTGTATACTTAAAAATTTAAATTTAAGAGAGTACAGCTCATGGTAACTGTTCTTACCACGATAAAATACAGTTAAAAATGCAATTTGTTAATGTCTCTATTTTAACTGTGGAATTAACTTACATTTATTGTTATTACTGACATATTTGGAATAACTTCTATCGTTTTACTTTGTATTTTCTGTTTTTCCCCTTTGCTTCTTCCTTCCTCCTGTTGAACCTTCTGTTTGAGATGACCAAGTTGAGGATACTTTTCTTTTTTCCCTTCTGCTGGATTGGAACCTATAGATTGCACTTCTGTTCCTTTGGAGATTACTGTTATGGGTGCTAACAAACTATGCCATACGTGTATGTTCAGGTGCTGCGATTCAATGTCTCTAAATCATGGGTCGCCAACCCCAAGTAAAGGAAAACACAAAGGTTCTGCAGTACGTGGTGGATTCTGTTTCTCATGAAGTCACCGTGTGTTCTTTTGTATATCACTTTCTCAAAACTATTCTTCTTTTGTTTTGTTTTGAGGAAACCACGTTTTATACATCTTTGTATTTATTTACAAGTTCTTAGTTTCCCTTGCTATATAAACAATTTGATGGGTTTTAACAACTGCATATATCTCTACCAAGATAATGAATATTTTCACCACCCAGGAAGTTCACTTGTGTCCCAGAAGCAAAATTTTTTTCAAAATAGATGAGTTTTGCTGCTATAAAATTTCATATAAAACGACTCACCCAGTATGTATTCCCTTGTCTCTCACTTCTTTGCTCAGCATAATGTCTGCAAAATTTATCCATGTTATTGTAACAGCAGGTTTTGGTTTTTTTTTTTATGATAAATGCACTCCCCTCCTCCCAGTTCCCGCCCCACCCTCTGCCCTCACTCCCCACCCACTGTCCTCATCCATAGGTGCACGATTTTTGTCCAGTTTCTTCCCGCATCTCCCATTCCCCTTTCCCCGCCAAGAATAGTCAGTCCATTCCCTTTCTATGTCCCTGATTCATTATAATCACCAGTTCATTCTGTAAATCAGATTATTTATTCACTTGATTCTTAGATTCACTCGTTGATAGATGCATGTTTGTTGTTCACAATTTGTATCTTTACCTTTTTCTTCTTCCTCTTCTTAAAGGATACCTTTCAGCATTTCGTATAATACTGGTTTAGTGGTGATGAACTCCTTTAGCTTTTCCTTATCTGTGAAGCTCTTTATCTGACCTTCAATTCTGAATGATAGCTTTGCTGGATAAAGTATTCTTGGTTGTAGGTTCTTGGTATTCAGCACTTTGAATATTTCTTGCCATTCCCTTCTGGCCTGCAAAGTTTCTGTTGAGAAATCAGCTGACAGTCGTATGGGTATTCCCTTGTAGGTAATTGAGTCTCTTTCTCTTGCTGCTTTTAAGATTCTCTCTTTGTCTTTTGCTCTTGGCATTTTAATTATGATGTGTCTTGGTGTGGTCCTCTTTGGATTCCTTTTGTTTGGGGTTCTCTGCTCTTCTTGGACCTGTAAGTCCATTTCTTTCACCAGGTGGGGGAAGTTTTCTGCCATTATTTCTTCAAATAGGTTTTCAATATCTTGCTGTCTCTCATCTTCTGGCACCCCTATTATTCTGATGTTTGTACGCTTGAAGCTGTCCCAGAGGCTCCTTACACTATCTTCGTATTTTCGGATTCTTTTTTCATTTTGCTTTTCCGGTTGGGTGTTTTTTGCTTCTTCGCATTTCAAATCTTTGGCTTGATTCTTGCGCTCCTCTGGTCTGCTATTGGGTGTAATATTCTTTATTTCAGACCGTGTATGCTTAATTTCTAGTTGTTTCTTTATCATAGCATCGAGGGTCTCATTAGTTTTCGTGAGTCTCTCCTCAAGTTTATTGGCAGCTTCTAGCACATTTTTGCAAGCCCTCAAAATTGCGTTTTTTAGCTCTATATCGTCCATTTCTGTCATGTTTTTTTGTCTCCGCATTTTTTATGCTTTCTTGGTGCACCCCCTAGTGGTCTTTGTGCGCAGTCTTGTTCTAGTTGAGCCTTGATTGTTGTAGTTAATACTAGAGGGATTTGACCACCAGGCCGACTGGCTGTGTGAATTAGCTGTGTCTGCTCTGGTTTTTGTTTTCTTTCCAAGTCGTATTCCATTGTATTGATGTACAAAATTTGTTTATCTATTCTCCTGTTGATGAACATTGATTTGTTTCCAAATTGAGACTATTACGAATAAAATTTGCTATGAACATTCTTATATAAGCATTTTTGTGGACATGCTTCCATTCTCTTGGTTAATTACGTAGGCACAGAATTAACAGCTCATAGACAAGTGTGTGTTTAACTTTCTAAGAATCATTTGTAACTGTTATGTCTTCCTTATGAGTTAAAACTTATTATTATGACATGTCCCTTTTTATTTCTGGTAATACTCTTTGTCTTAAAGTCCATTTGTCTGATTTTAATTTAGCCACTCCAACTTTCTTATGTCTTTATTCATCTTCTTACTTTCAATCTGAGTCTTTACATTTAATGTGTGTCTCTTGCAGATAGAATATATGTAGGCCTTGATTTTATATTTTTATCCAGTCTGATCCCATGGTTTTTACTTGGAGGATTAGTTTATTAACTTTTGATGTACAAATGGAAATGACTAGAATTAGGTGTTCAATTGCTATTTGTTCTTTATTTGTTCATCTGTTTTTTGTTCCTCATTCCTTCCTTTCTTATTTTTTGGGGGGTTAATCAAATTTTTATTTTATTATTATTATTAATTATTTTACTATTCAAGTCTAAGACTTATGTTGGTATGTCTAATTCTGTCATGGCATCTGCTTCATGCAGGACTTAGCTGATGTAGTCTTTTATATGTACCATGTTTTTACTATTTCTGATATTCTTCTTTTCTGTAGATTGGAAATTCCAACAGACTTGCCCAACCCCAGACCTACTGGATGAAATATACTTTTAACAAGATTCCTGCGTGATTTTGCATACACATTACTTTTGAGAAGCACAGTTCTAGCCATTGTCATACTACTTATCACACTATCATGTTTTCTTTTTTCCTTTTCTAGGATGTGCGCTACAAATGTCTTTTATACGTCTATCCCTTAAACCTACACAGTACTTGGTACAGAGTAAATGCTCAATAAATGCTTACAGAATGAATAAAATGGGGATAACACACCTACTAAGCGGTTTGCCGTTGGTGAAGGCTGCACTTGAGGTTGGCAAGTTGCGTTTCATTCCTAGGTTTCCATTAACTATCACTTGCTCGCGAATAATAGGAACCATTCCACATTAGGCCCACCAACACAATCTGTCACCTCATAACCACATAGCAAAAGCTTTTCATCTCTTAATGGAGCTTTGTGTGATTTAAAAAAGATTTTTTTTTTTAAGTCAGAAATCAGAGAACTTAGGTGAGGCTGTTAGAAACATCCCAGAAAAAGCTCATAAATACAGGGTCAAGGAGAATGGAATTCTATTAGGTCATAACCATTGTTCTTTGTCTAGGGGAGAGAAATATGCCAGAAGGAGATCTGAAATTTATCAGGCATAGAGTGAGAAAGGGGAGATGAAGGGATGGCAAATGGGAGGGGAGGGGAGGAAGGTATATAAAAGAAAGAAAATTTCCCATCAGCACTGGGCCCAAGGACAGAGAAGAGAAGGAACATTTTAGAGTCCCATCTAGTGCTTAATGC